CTCAAGTTGCTTAAAAATGATCAAGTCCCTTAAAGAAAAAAATTGCCAAAGACACTTGGCACTATTGCATTCATGGTCTAAACGATGACCCGCGTCCGTCCCGTTAACATCCTAACACAAGATTGTCCACCAAATACAATGGTGGAACAATACTGTTAAAAGGGTTAAAACATAGGAAAGATCTTTGAGAAATTTGGGGTAGATAGCTCTTGGTTACTTGACCAATCTTGCAAAACAATCCTTGCCATTTTTCAAAACACACATCACAACACAACTTCAAAACAAACTTTCAAAACATTGAAAACTTTCCAAAAGACAAATACACCTTTGTATACATTCAAACATGGATCATTACAAAGGTTGCCACAACAATGGCCTCTTTTCAAAACATCTTTCAAAATCACACACAAAGCACCATTTCAAACAATTGAAAATGCAAGGCAAGTGATCTAAGTAAGTAACTAAGAGCCCATGGATAACCATGGATAGAAAGGGTGCTAATACCTTCCCTTTCTATAATCTACTCCCCGAACCCAAGAAAACATCTCAAAGGTTTTTCCTGTGCTTTTTAACCTTTCCTTAGGATAAAATAAAAAGTCGGTGGCGACTCTTGCTAAACTGAAACATTTGCGAAAACAAACGCAAAACCTCAAGTCAGTTCTCCCACCGTATAACACCCACTATTTTGCATTGTACTACGATCATCATTTGATTATGTATAAAAGGTATAATGACTAATGTCGTATGTAGTCCAAGTTGTTACATTAATTTTTGACTCGTATAACAACCATTTAAGTATATCGGATGTACTACGATCATTAGATACCCTTTCATAAACTAATCTATGACTCTCTTGTTATGCTCCATCAACAACAACTTATCACTCTTTGGGGATATTTTTTCTTTTAAAGTCTTTTGTGAGTATCTATGTAATGTTGAACTTCATCAATATTATTAAATATATAGAAATATGCTTGCATAACTACATCCTGAGCCATTGACTTAACATTTAGACCTCGAATACCTCTTTCTTCTATGTCAACATGACGATACTTTGGAATTCCTATAGAATATGCTTCTGACAAATAGTTTGTACAAAACTTAACAACTTCTTCTTTGATGTAACTTTCAATAATCCAAGCTTCCGGTCGGTGATGATTCTTCGTATATCCTTTAAATATCTTCATATATCGCTCTATTGGAAATCATCATACTTAATAACATATACTTGTGCTTTATGCACAACCAAGGAGATAGGTTGTACACAAATAGTAATGTGAATGACACGCAAAAATCTAAACCAAAACCATATCTAAAAACTAAAGCATATTCATAGCAAAAGCATAACTTTAAACCTTAAGCATATGCATATCCATCATAACAATATAATATTTTTGTTCAGTTCTATATCCAACAAAAAAAACCTAAAGCATATAAAACATGTACAATATACAATATGAACACAAGAAAGGTACATGTTTCATCCTAGGGAAAAAACACAACAACAAACAAATGGTAAATATGAACCAAGAACGATATACAACATTAAACGAAATATGAAGCAAGCAACATGTACCCATAAAAAAGGAATAAAAACCAAAGATGAAGATTACCGTACTTTGAAGTTGAGGATGAGAACAAGAATGAAGATGTTGAATATTTGCGATTCAAATGAACAAAGAGGGTAAAGATTTGAGTTCTAGATAAATTAATATGATCACAATAACATTGTCGTCTCTGGTTGACTTGTTCACCTAGGGCATCTAATGAAAGAAATAAAGAATAACTTTTGTTTTAATTTAACACTAAAACCTTTAACCACGGTTGAACAATTAAACCATAGTGTAAATTTAAATCATCTAACAACGGTTGAGGCAATCCACCATTGTTAAATCATTTTCAATTTATGTTTTCGATAATGGACTTAAGTGACACACGCTTAATGTAACCAAAAAAAAGGAAAAAATGTAGTTGCTGGGAATTGAAGCTTGTTACACATAGATTATCACCACGATTTTAAAGAACAACCATTATTAAATTACTTTTTATAAAAAAACACATTCACTGGCGCTTCAACTTTAACATATTACAACAATGTATATGATACCATTGTAACTTTGGCATTGTTGTATCTACTTTTTATAGTAGTGCTACAATATTTTCTTCTACCCTTTCTTCTCCTAGATATTTTAGTTGATCTTTGATCTTCCATTACTTTTAGAGTTATGCACATCTTCAGATGCATGCATGATTTTATGGCACATGTTGTGCTTCTTTAATGGCAGAGTGGGAGCCTGAAAGCTTTATTGACAACAACATACAACTTATTAGATTCATATTTTTACAGAGCTTCAGACTCTGATGCTTGTCATTAAAACTTTGTTTGAGTAGATCTTTTCATAATAGTCTCTAGTTGACTTCAAATAATTCTTCTAATGATCTTATTTTTGAATAAGATATAGACCTATGGTCACAAACTTGACTAGTCGTGAACAGTCAAAATTACATTTTGGTATTCTGAATATTCTTTGTTGAACATCAAGCACACTTATTTCTTATCATCATAATCTTTGTAGATTCTATAGTGTCTATAGATTGGGTTGAAAATAACTGTCTGTTTTTAGAACACCATTTGATGATATAATCCATGAGATAATGGTCATTCTGAAACAGGGAACAAAAGGCTCAACTTTCCTTGATCATGATACATGTTTTCACCATTTACCTTAGTTTCTAAATTATTGACACTTGGATCCATAAGTCTTTAGATTAGGTTTCCTTTCAACCTTTGATTGGGAGATCTTAGGTTATAGATTCCTTTCATATTTGGACCCAAAGACCACCGTGTCAGATTTCTTCAGATGTTGTTGACATTGAAATATAAAGTTCAATTTTGGTCAAAACTTTTGACTAATTTTATTCTGGTGGATTCAGAATCTTACTACTTTCATCAACTTATATGCCAATCTCTCCTTCTTTTATATTTCTTTCTGTATCGAAGCAAGCTCTGATTCTGTCAAAACTTAATACAAAGAAATTTTGAAGAGTCGCTTCGTGCATACTCAAAGGTTCATCATACACCTATCAATTTTGAGCAACAAGACTTCATTCTCATTTTCATCTAAGCCAGTTTCTTACTCAGTTTCAGAATATTAGTCATTAGTGCAAGATTGAACTTTTTCAAAATTCATGTCTAAGTATTCTTTCCAACATGAGAAGTTGTTTGCAAGGTGAGAAAAATACACAAGGGGGGTAGAATTGTGTATGTCACAGTTTACTTTTTTTCCAATCTTGATTCAGAACCAAATTAGAAGAGGTTAGATTTTGAATCAAGACGAACTACGTTAGACCAAAGTCTGACTTTAGAGTTTAGTGCATAATGGAATAAATAGATGCAGAAGTGAATAAAGTGACACACGATATATTCCTGTTCCTCTCAATCTGAGAGTAGTCCAATCCCCTTGCAGCATAAGAGATTTTCCCTATAATAATTCAGATTACAATTCGCTCAACCAAACTAGAAAGAGACTTATTTGCCTAACCAACTGTCCAAGACTTCTTGCTCAATCAAACTAGAAAGATACTTCCTTGTCCAAACCAATTGTCCATGAATTATTGTTTAAGTCCTCAAACAAGAGACTTTATTGCTCAGTCCTCCAGATCGTGACTTCCTGCTTAAGCCCTCAAGCAAGATACTTCCTTGCAAAACCTGCAGTTCAGGACTTCCTGCTCAATCACAATTGAAAGAGAATTTTTCTCAAGAATGATCTCCAGAGACTCTATATTATTTTATGAAAAGAGTGTGTTAATAGCCTTTGTATTTATATGTGTGCTTCGTAGTTAAGAAGATACGCAAATGTTTTACACTTTGAGCAAGATATAAATTAAGAAGCTCTTAAGTGTATAACAATTAATTTTTCATTCTTTCTCTTCTTCTGCTTCTTCACATATGATCTTCATTTTTTATGCATTTTTGTTTTGTTGAATTGTTTAATCATATTCACATATTATTTATTTTTACTCTCATAGTCATATGTGAATATGTCTCACTCTACTTACTTTTATGTTAACACGCATTAACCCTTCTGGTTAGATTTCTTCTTCTTTTGTGTGTTTCTGTCATTTGTGTTTTTTTGGGTAACGCGTTTTTTTCTCTCAACCCTCAGCGTATGTTCTGGTATCACATTTTTGTGAAATCAATTATACACACTCATATCTTCTTATTTATTCTTCTTCTTCTTCTTTTATAGATTCTGAAAATAGATCTGTTGAAGACTGAGACTTTCCATAGTAAAAGTAGTCGTTGAAGGTTGAAACTACACATAAGACAAGTAGTTGTTTTGTAAGGTGTTTTTATGGACAATATTAACATTCATGTTCTAGTATTAGGTGTTGTTTCTCATTGTGTGGAGACTCATGTGTTATCTATATTGCGGTAGAATGAAAATAACATGCCCTTTCTGAAAAGGTCTTAAAGAGAAAAGGCCAATGGAAAAATGGTTTGAATTTGTTGAAGTATTTTATTAGGCGAATGGTAAAAGAAAAATACAAAAGTTCTAATATTTTTGTCATTTTATCATGTAAAAAAAAATTAAAAATCATTGAAAAAGATCACAAAACAATTGATAAAAAACAAGATAAAAAAGAAAATAGATAATAATGAACAAAAGGAGGGTGCAAGCTTGCATCGGGTGGTATGCTGAATAGTGGTGCTAGGATCAAACGAATTTAGACCCAGAACTAGCATTTTTGCTTAATGCCTCCAGCTTGCAAAAAATGCTACGAGTCTAAGGCAAGGGTGCATGCAAATTCGATCCAGTTCACCAACACAACACAATATCCCAATCCAATTCAGTAGCATTCAATATTATTAGCATATTATTTCCATTTTTGATTAAAAATAATAATAAAAAACAAATAAAATGAGAAACATGTGATACTCGTGCGTTTTGATTTTTTTATGGTTTTAGAAGTGACTCTCCAACTTATTTTGAACCGAACTTCTCTCCTCCCTCCTCTTCGGCACCGCGATACGCAAACTTCTTTATCTTCTTCGATGCTTTGCTTTTCTAGATCCGTTTCTTACATCTCAATGCCACTGTACTCTCATCTTCTTCCACTGCTCAACCTTTATTATTCATCTCTTCTTCTTAACCTTTATCTTTCACCTCTCAACCTTTCACAAGGCCTCCGTAAACATCCTTCTTCCTCATCGTCAAAACCAACACGACACACATACACACTCACGTCTTGTTCTCTTCTCATACTCTTCATCGATTCAACCAAATAGCATGCGTCATATGCTAATGGAAGAGATCAATGCTAAATGAAGAGATCGAAGTGTGTTATCTACCGGAGAAAGTCTGATGCCTCTTCAAGCACAACGATGAGAAATCCAGAGAAAATATTCTCAGGTATGCATTTCGTTTTTGTATCTTCATCTATTCTTCTCTGATTCTGTGTGTTTTCGTTGTTGTTGTTTTTGTTGTTCTGTCGATGTGTGCGGTTGTTGATGTTCTTTGTTGTGTTGCAGTGATGTTGGTGAAAATGTGATGATGATGGAGATGCAGTGATAATGAAATGCGGATTATTGTTGTTCTTTGTGTAGCAGAGATCGCAAAGATGAAGATGTACTGCGATGCAGAGGAGTAAAGGTTGTTATAGTTTGTGATGATGAAGAGTGAACATGTTGTTCGATTTGAGAGAGAGATGAAGCTTTTCTGGAGATTTTGCAGAATGGTTGTGATTCTTCAGAATGATGATTGAAGAAGATGTGTCCTATTTTTATAGTTTGTTGGAGGTGAAGAAAGTTAGAGTTGCAAAGCTCTTGGCCTTTGGATTTCATGTTTTGTTATGAATGAAGGGATGAGATTAATTTTGGCGAGTTTTCTTATGTGCTATAAAGTTGGGATCAATACTTTTCTGATGAAGACTCATGCTCCACCACTTGTTCATGCTCAGTGTTAGGTCTGTGATTTTATGATTGACAACAATTTTGGTAAAACAACTAGTTGACAACAATTTTATAAAAACATGTTTCATTGGGAAAAACAAGTACTGCAGACTAATGTTGAACAAGATGTCATAAAATCTTGACCACCTGGTACAGTAGAGTCTTCTATTCAGTCACGTAAAACCTTTTTGATCTTATCTTCTAATCTTCAGAGGCTTCAAAATATGTGTTGACGAAGCATGCTTAGAAGGATCAAAACCATAATAAGAGTCTTTAGAACTTTGTCTTCAAGGTCTTCAGAACTTGTTCATCAGAACCTTGTCTTCAGAACTTGGTGTCGCAACGCAAAAAAACAGAGATCCGGCGCCGAACTTTCTTTATCTCAAAGAAAATGGAAATCATCGAGAAAACCATAAAAGAAAGGATAAGATGGTCTTGTGACCAAGAAAGGGGTACGAAAGCTGGTTATGCAAGGGGGTGGGGGTATTAGCACCCCCATATTCGTTATACTCAACGGGATCCACTCTGGTGGTTTGTTTCTAAGGGTGTGTTATTTAAAGCTTACTTGCTAAGGGAATGCATGAATAAATTAATGGAAAAAATAAAAGGTTTTTATTATTGAGTTCACCTAGGTCTTGCAACTAAGTGCCTATGTATCCTCATAATGTAATAAAGAAATCAAAACTCTGTAGTTCATCTCAAAAAAGGTTTGTTTCGTAAGGTGTTTTTTACGGGCAATGTTAACATTCATGTTCTAGATTTAGGTGTTGTTGCTCGTTGTGTGGAGACTCATGTGTTACCTGTATCACGGTAGACTGAAAATAACATTCCCTTTCGAAAAAGGTTTTAAAGATAATATCCCAAGGGGAAAAAGGTTTGAATTGGTTGAAGTATTTTATTAGGAGATTGGTAGTAAATGGTCCCTGATACAGAGGGTACTTAGTTACTTCTCCACCTTTATTTGTGAAATTGTTTGTGATTCAAAATGCACTACAGTCTAGGAGTGGAAGAACAAGGTCGAAAAAATACCCTCTCATTTTTTTCCATTTCTTAAGACTCATGGTGTACAATTCGCCTCGTCATTATAAGTGTTTTTTAGTATTTATTAAGGATTTGTTTTATAAGGAAAAAAACTGCAAAAATGAATGATGAAATAAAAGGGAAATTATAACCTAATGTTGTTGAAATATCTCTTATTTAGTATTATTAATTGTCTTATTTAAGAGTCATTATATCACTCCTAAAATAAAGGAGATGACTTGGTATTTTCTCTCATATAAAAGGAGCCCTTTTCCCTTAATAATAATATATACAATTATCACCCATATGCTTTTCTACATGGTATCATGAGCTCTTTTAGGGCAAGGGTGAAACTTTAAAACTTTTCCTAACTAGTGGGGTTCAAGGCATCGCCCTGAAATAAATTTTATGGCGACCCATTTTTTATCCGACCCGACCGATCTAAACTATGAAGGACCCTGCCCAAACACCACCTCCTCCCGGAGGTCAAGGAGGCAGAGGCAGCGACACCAAGAACAATTTCAAAGGAGGAGCCAACGTTAATTATGGAGGCACTAACAATTCTGGTTGAGGAAGTGGATTTACCATGCAAGAAATTCCTAGTTTCATGACAAACAACAATTTTAACGGTGGGTTCGGTTATGGCAGAGGTTATGTATCCATGTTTGGGATGTTGTAAGACTGTCTTACTCTGATATTAAAAGTTTCTCTCAAATTTATGATCTAAAATCAAGGTTATGGAATTTAAAGCAGAATGACATGGATGTCACTACCTATTATAATGAATTTATGGCTCTTTGGCAAGAGTTGGATCAGTATGATGATTATAACTAGAGGTGTACTGAAGACAATGTTCAGTTTATTAAGACGCAAGAGAACGACCGTGTCTTTAGTTTTCTTACTGGTCTCAACAAGGAACTCCATGAAGTAAGAAGTAGAATTCATGGAAATATTTTGCTGCCAACTATCCTAGAAACTTTTTCAAAAATCAAAAGGGAGGTGGCTTGATAAAGAGTAATGATGGGAAAATCAAACTCAGTAACTGATGGTTCTTCGCTAGTCACAAACAACTTCAAAAAAGACAGAAAGAAAAATGGTAAATTCTGGTGTTATCACTGCCAACTTTATTATCACACACTATTATACTCCAATTTTCCCCCTAAGATCCCTTCATCATACCATATTGATTCAATCACAACAAGATCATATTAGGGCTTTTGGTTCTCCTTCCTATCTCTAGCTTTGCTCTTTGAGTAATCACAAAGCACCTTGACTTGTTTTTATTTTGTGATCATGTATGATTTATTTTAGCTTTCCTTTTAATTAATAAAATGCAATGTTTCTTTGTCTTACTTGTTAATAATGTAGGTAAAGGAAATGTGGCTTAGCAAGTTGATCCATGGATTCATGAGTTTATTTCCATGCCCTAGTCAATAATGATTGAGAAGTTCAAACCTCATCATTGAAGTTATGTTGGAAGAAATGGCATGGCAAGGTTTATCTTGGTTCACCACATTTCAAAGTTATCAAGATTGATTCAAAGGTACAAGGGGTTGATTGAAGAAGTTGTCATGTTTGGACAAGCCTTTGTTCCCATTGGTCACAAATGCATATTTCACTCAATCATCAAGATATGGAAGTGGTTTTGGTATCTATTAGTTCTCATTATCATCATCAACAATTTCTATTTACAAAGAAAAAGTGTTGGTACAAGAAGGTTGTTCAAAATTGTCAAAGTTCCTCAAAGCATTTTCTTGATCTAGGAGCTGGGTTTTGAACTTCAAAGAAATATATCTTGCTCATCTTTTGGTATTTTTTAGTGATTCCAAAGACATCCTTGTCTTCAAGGGTTATTAACAAATCACTTTAAAAGTTTCAAGGATTTTTCATGTGGAAGAAGCTTGATGATGAAGAAAGATTACAAGTCCTCAAGATAAACCCCCCAATTTCTCATGTGTGATTTCAAATGGTCATAACTTGGTCAATTTTTATCACCTTGATCCCACTCCTTTTCCAAAGTGATCTTAAGGATGTGAACTTTATTCCTTCTTTTATATCCAAAGTTAGAAAATGGATGGAAGATGCCCTAAGGATACAAAAGATTATAGGTCATTTCATGATTATTTTCCAACTTCAACAATTCATAACTCTCTCAATTTTTGGAGATTTTGAATGGTTCAAGTTTCAAAATGTCATTCCAGAGGTCTATTTCATGCCATCTTTTTTGGTTCAACTTTATTCCTTTTCTGATTTTTCTATGATCTTACTTTTATTTCTTTATTAATTTGAACTTGGTTGATATTTTTCTCTTTTATTTCTATTTTAAAACATTTTTAAACTTTTTTTAATGTATATATTAAATGAAATATTATTTTGTGATTATTTTTTAACTGATCTTGGATTGAATTTTTAATCATGAACTTTGTTAACAACATTGGATCTATGGTGTTGAGTCTAACTCCATAAAAATGGATGAATGATTTTAATAATAGTTAGATTAAATTTTAATTCAAATGTGGTTTGTATATTCTTCCCCACCCTTCTTCATCTTATCCCTTACTTATTGCACTAAGTGTTATTGGAGCGTGATCTCTATATCATGTCTCAAAACAAATGGTGCATAGATTGCTATTGACCGGCCTCAAAATAGATGCGACTTCTACATAAGTCTGAAGTGGTGAAAAACACAAGAAGGGGGGGTTGAATTGTAAAACTGAAATCTAAAGCAATTGACAAGATATTTTTATCCTGGTTCGTTTGATCTCAAACTACTCCAGTCCACCCGTCAAGGTGATTTCGCCTCTCTCCAACGAGGTCTTAATCCACTATATTCAACTGAATATTATAGACTGCTTTAACAACTGCTAAAGCCTTCTTGATTCAAACCACAACCCGGTTTGTCAAGGTAACACTTTCTTACAAAGAGATAAAACAATGTGTGTGGATGTTTTCTACAAAACTGTATCACAACTGTGATGTATACACAAAATGAAGCTTAGAAACTAGATTGCTAAACAGTAATGGAATATCAGAGTGTGTGGTTTAGCAAAACTGGTAGAACGAAGATTATGGTTCAGCTTTTGTGCGTGTAGAGATTTGGAGAGCATTAACCATTTCAATCTTCAAAGCCTTGTTTATATAGCACTTGAGATGATGAACGTTGGATGCAATATTCTTGATTCAATTCTAATAACAAGCTTTCCTTTTTGAGCAGATCTTGTCTGGAATGAGGCCGTTGGAATTAATTAGCTTTCAATGCACAGTACCGTTGCTTTACTTAATGCAAGTTCTGGCTTGGCTCATTCTGATTCTGCTTCACTGCTGATGAACTATTGTGTTTCTTATCAGAGTGTTTGA